TCACTTTCTAAAGTTTTTTTTTTAAATATTACGAATAATATTTGATGTATAACAGTGAAAATTGGTATACAAGGGTTTTTTGGTACGACAAAACGAACCATGGGCATATTTTTACTGTAGCTGGTAGAGGGCGCTCTCTACTGTACCTGTAGTGTATTAAAATGACCGAAAAAAATTTCTTAGTGCAATTTTTTGCTTTTTGATTAAAAAGACTGATTTTTCGCACTTTTCAACATAAAAAAGCTCTCTTGTGAAATTTCGTTATAAATAGCCGTTTTTGAGATATTTCGATTTTCAAGGTTCGATGCATTTTTAATTATTTGTGATAAAATAACGTTAAAAAGTTCGATAATTTTTAGAAGTAGGCTGTGCCTGCAAATATTTTTGAAATTGAAAGCAGAATAAGGTTAAACGTCAATTAGTTGACAGTTAGTTTTGTTGTCTGTTGAAACCTGAAACGTTTTTTTGCAATTGTGAATACACGAAATTTAGTTTCTCTTACATGTTTTTTTTTAAGTTTTATAAAAATGCCATTTTTATTCTCAAATCAAGAGTTAGCGGATATTAATTTTGTGTATGGCTTTGTAAATTTTCAGATTTCCAAACAGACGACATCCAACTCGCTCAGTATTTGTAAGAGTGCATCGCCAAATAATTGAAAATGGTTTTGGAAATCTCCAAAGGGATCAAAACATAAATGTTCGTCAGCGCAGATTTACCCGTATGATTCTGCGTGAGTTTGATAGAGATCCGACCACAAGTGTTAGGAGAGTTTCTGGTGCCCTGGGAATTTCAGCAAGCCATATTCACCGTGTTCTTAGAAATGACCATAGACGTCCTTACCATTTGCAACCTGTGCAAGTACTACAGCCAGGGGACGGAGAACGAAGAATCACATTTTGTCAGTGGATTCTTGATAGAACTGATAATAATAGGGAGCTTTTAAGTAACGTTTTATGGACCGATGAGTCATGCTTCACTAGACGTGGAGTGGTAAATTTTCATAAGCAACATATTTGGTCGCATGAAAATCCGCATGCAGTTCGGGAAAGAAATTTTCAGCATGAATTTAGTGTGAACGTGTGGATTGGAATCTACCGTAATCGACTATTTGGACCCTACCTTTTTCCTGCAAGGTTAAATGCTGCGACCTTCTTGGAATTTTTAAAGGCTGAACATGCAAATATGTGGGATGATGTTGTGTTAGATTTAAGAAGATTGGCCTGGTTCCAGCTTGATGGTTGTCCAGCTCATTATTCGAGAATAGTTAGAAACTGGCTGGACGAAAATTATCCAGAAAGATGGATCGGCCGTGGAGGACCAGTCGCCTGGCCTCCACGATCCCCTGACCTAAATCCATTAGATTTCTTTGTGTGGGGATTTTTAAAAGAAAAAGTGTACCAGACTCCCGTAATCACAAGAGATATGCTAATAGACAGAATCAGGAATGCATGTGATGGAATAAGGCCTTATTTGAATAATGCTATACCACGTTCGATCATTCGTAGATGTGAATTGTGTATTGAACCATTGGGTTTACATTGCGAGCAACTACTTTAGATTTTGTATGTTTGTCCTAACTATCCAATAGCATTTTAGTTGTAAATAATTAATTTAATTTGTTAAAAATAATATTGGAAAATTAAACAAATTAATATTCTTTTTTTTGTGTTTATTTGGAGTTAGGAATTATTGCTGTGTTTAAAAACACAATCTAAACGATCATCTTAATTACTTGTAATGCCCAAATCGAAAATGTAAAAAAAAATATTATTTTCCCATAAATAATAATTAAAAACCTTGAAAATCGAAATATCTCAAGAACGGCTAACTATAACTGAAACTCACAGGAGAGCTTTTTTATGTTGAAAAGTGCGAAGAATCAGTTTTTTAAAAAACCCTTGTATACCAGTTTTCACTGTTATACATCAAATATTGTTCGAAATATTTAAAAAAAATATTTTAGAAAGTAAATTTAAACGGAGCCACGCATTTTTCGACCCATGCTTATATAGACTATATGCATTAATTTTAAAAGTTCTATCGAATCTTAAAGTTATACAACAATAAACTGAAACACCCTGATACAGTTTGCCTTCATATCGTCTTGTCTTTCATAGGTAGTTCCTCTAATTGAAATTGTCGTTCTAACTATATCCTATTAACGATTTTAATGATGATGAAACGGCACCATACATGCTCGCAACGTCGATACAGACCTTCCAAGGGCTGATAGTGCATCTCATTATTTGGAACACAATAAGTGCCCGAGTACATAGTCGAGCTGTTATTGGGTTGAGGGTAATTCTGTGAAATCCTAAAAAAGAGCCAAAATCATGCGATGAACAATCCTTGGTTCATTAATGTTATTTTTGTCATTCATCTTGATATATAGTAGGGTGTCCCAAAAAACTGAATGCTCTTTTTTTCAAGCGCATACCTTTTAGTTTTGCTTGAACCATGTCATAGCAGTTGTAAATAAAGTTTTATGTACCTAGAATCAGGACAACGCGTGCCGAATTGCGTTGGTACATACCAAAACTTGCATATTAAGCACGCGGTAGCTAACGTATTGCAGTGCCCGTTTGTTTTATTAGCAAACGCACTGTTTTCGTTCAGACAGCACGTTGAAGGAATTACGCAGTTCTGAAAAGGGAATATTTTTTTATTAGGGACGTAAAGCATCAAATTGCCGGTTCACAACGTTCCTCTAATGGATAAGTACAGGTCGACAACAGAGTGAGACGGTGGATGTCTGAGACACACAAATAATAAAAATGTACCAGGGTGTTATAGGTTTAAAATATTAACAATGGATATTTTGATAGTATATATAGTAGAAAACACCAACTTTATCACTCCCTAATCAAATTTGCAGCATAAAAATAACACATGTTGCAATTACAGCATACCAACCTATTTTAATTTCAATGCAACATATGTCTATAACGCATAGGTGGCTGTGAAAAATAAAAGTCATGACAATCGTTTTTATTAATGACAGCTGTCAGAATACGTTTAAAATAGTTTTGGGTAGTTAAGGTTTTCAAAATGGGTAGAGGAAAGGTTATTAGTGAGAAAATTGGGTTACTGACAATTTAATTTTTTAATTCTGGGAAATCAAACTCAGAAATTGCATCTTTGTTAGACTTATCGCGGTACAGTGTGAGAAATATTGTTACAAGATGTAACTGGTTCAGTTAATATTAAGCCACGATATGTCAAAAAGAGTAATATCACAAATGCCGACCGAAGAGCATTAAGAAGAATAATCGTGAAAAACAGGCGTGCCAATTATTTACAATTAAGTTCTCTGTGGAGTGACGCTGTTGGAAGGAGAACTTCGAGGTCCACAACTCATAGAGAGGCCCACAGACTGGGATTTAGCACTTGCAAGGTAAGTTTTCTTATAAAAAAAGTGAAGTAAAACCCTAAAGTAGCACAACTTGTTTATAGGCCAAAGAAAAGCCACTATTAACTCCACTGCAAAAGAAAAATCGGCTTTTTTGGGCTAAAGAACATAGACAATGGACACCTCAACAATGGTGTGCAATACAATGGAGTGATGAGGCCCGATTCGAAGTTTGTGTTGGTGACAGTCGCAGTAGAGTTATTCGCAAAAAAAATGAAGCATTCCATGTTGACTGTCTGAAGAGAAAAGTGAAATTTCCAGCATCCATTATGGTCTGGAGCAGTATGTCATCAAAAGGAGTAGGACAACTTTTTTATTGACAGAAATGTGGATACAAACAAATATTTGGCAATTTTAGAAGAATCGCTTTTACCAGTGATGGAAGAATGTTTGACATCCGGCCAAGATTTTGTGTCTCAGCAAGATGGTGCAGCGTGCCATACCTCAAAAAAGGCTATAAAATGGATGGAAGAAAATAAAGTACCACTTTTGAAATGGGTTTCTAGCAGTCCAGATCTGTCACTTATTGAAACATTCAAGGTTCTACGACAACATCCTGCTCGTACAATCACCGAACTGAGACAAAAGCTTCGAGAAATATGGGATTCTTTTACACCAAATTTTTTTCCAAAACTTGGTTAACACTATGCCCCAAAGAATTTCAGCCGTAATAAAAAATAAAGGTGATGTTACCCAATGGTAATCTTTCAATTGTTGCTTTGTTAACTTCGCGGATTTATTCGCACATTGTTTATTTGTTCAGATGTTCTATTAGTTATAGGTCTAAGGGATTTCAAATATGTATTTTTTACGACTAGAGTGTATCTAAAATGTTTTTGAGAAAATAAATTGTGTTAGAAGTAAATAGTTTCGTCATGTTTAGTTTATAAAGGCATATTTTGGTACAAATCTTGAAGTGGGCCAACTGAAATGGAAGAGGCTCGCAGAAGTACAGTCGATGCGGCAAGTTCAGTTACAGCGTGCCAATTGCTGTAATTTCATTTAATTTGATAAAAGGCTACCTATTTTACGATTACAATTCGCCCTTCGTAGACAACCCTTTGACTTCGCTTACCAACTACACTGAGAGACATTTATAAAAGACATCCGAATTTGGCATTTCACTATAACTTTACGGAAAAATGTTGGGATGCAATTCTTTCATTAAGGGATTGATTGATTAGCTAGTTACTTGCTGGTAGCATATACATTGAATCTAGCTAAATAGGGTGGATAACCCTTCATAAAAAACGTGCTTCAGCTCTTCTGAGCCTAATGTCTAGATCTTTTCAGAAAACAGTAAATTGTGTACAAGGATGTTGAAACCCTATATCTTTCATAATGACCCACAATTTATGAGATATGTCCTGCTCTAAGCTTATTTTCTCAAATAAGGAAATAAATATTGATTCTAAGTGAAAAATGTAATACAAAAGAGTTTCAGGTGAGGGGTTTAAACCCTAAAGATTCTGTTATCATTTTCGAAAATTTTAAAATGGATCAACAGCTTGCTATCCAAACTATCAGCACCTTTAAAGAATTTTACACATATCTCACAGGAATGAATCTGCACTTTCATTTATCATCATCAGCCTCCAAGATTGATGTACGTCTCATCAGAATTAGTTTCATACACTATAGAGTCTCCTACTGATTGTACACCCAAAATTCTGCTATCCTCCTCTTCTCCTTCTGAATCTTCATCTTCAGTTTCCAAAAAATCACTATCTCTGCCAGTTTGATTTAAATTGATAACGAATTCATCCACAACTCTATCAACCGCGGGCTCGCCTTCTATAAATTCTTTTTCAAACTTCTTTGTATGCTCGCATCTCGTTTTCCACTCATCACTCCCAAATCTATTAAAAAACTCATCGCAGTGTTTTAAAACAGCAGAAAATTTAAAATCGATATTGAGACATGCTACGTGAGATTTCATTGCCGCCCATACGAGTTCTATAGGGTTCAAGTCGGGGTGATAGGGTGGCAATCCTGATACATCATGCCCAGCATCATGCAGAATTTTATCTATTGCAAACTTCTTATAAGCAGGCGTATTCAGTTTTATAAAATTGTACAGTTCTGGCTTAAGCATGTCGCCCATAAAAAAGATATTTCTGTGACGAAGTCAGATCATTTCTGCTTTGGTTGTTGAGGAAGTTCTGTTTATTTATTATGATACGGTGCGTTGTCTACAGGGTTATCCAAATTAAGTGTCCACCATTAGTAACTTTGTTATTAGTGAAAATACAAAGTTGTTTGAATTAGCAAACTAGTAGCATTTTTAACGCTGGTAAAAATGAGAAATAAAAAAAAACAATTGAGAGTCGTTATTTTGATTTTTTTCAGTAAAATAACATTTTTTTAAATGGAAACCCCTGTATATTATATTTTTTTCTGTTAAAGCATCAAATTTTAAACAAAAAAGCTTACAATAACTTTTCTCCTAGGTTACAAATTGTTGAAGTTATGGCCTCCAATCTGAAACAATTAAATTGTATCGACAAACTTTATTTTCAACATCAACTTATAATCTCACAAAATACAATAACAATTTTTTTTAAAGAAGATGCTCGAAAACACCACCTTGTTCTTCAATACATTTTTGGGCACGTTTTTCAACTGCTCGAACTGTCTTAAGTATGGTCCTACCATCTATCTGGGTTATCTTTTCCCTAACTGCAGTCTTTAACGCGTCAAGGTTATCGTACCTTCGCTTGTAAATTTGGTTCTTTAAGTAACCCCACAAGAAGTAATCAAGTGGGTTTAGATCTGGTGATCTGGGAGGCCACTGTATTGGGCCATTTGTTCCTATCCACTGATCATTAAAAGTAGTACTTAGAAAATGATAAGTACCTCTGGAGTTGTGGGCAGGTGCGCCATCTTGCTGAAAATGCAGATGATGTCTACTTATAAGATCCAATTCGTCTAAGAAATTAGTCAGAATTTCTGACATAAATTCCACATATCTTTCACCAGTTAGGGTTCCCTCATAAAAGAACGGGCCAACAATTTTTGAACCAATTATACCGCACCAAACGTTGAAACTGAAACGGACTTGTGGGCCTCTTGGATGTACTAACAAAAGATTTTCTCTTGACCAATAATGGTGGTTTTTTCTATTACACATTCCAGAATTTGAAAAATTTGATTCATCTGTCCATAAAAGGTAACGAAAGTTATTTACATTTTGGCGACAGAAGCTAAGATACCAATGGCAAAAAACAAGTCTTCTCTCTGGATCCCCTGCCAAAAGCGTTTGAACTGGTCGGTACTTATACGGAATAAAAATGTATTTTTTTTAAATCCTTTGAACAGTACCATAACTGAAATTAGAGTCCTTGAGAATATCTGCTATTGAATTCTCACGATAAGCTTCAAAATATCCAACAACTGCAATTTCCGTGGCCTCGCTTATTATGAATTCTTTTTTTGCCCTTGTTTTAGCAAAAACATTTTCGTTGCCCCTAAATTTTCGATAAAGTCTCAGAAAATATCGTTCATACGGTTGAATGCGAGCGGGATATAATTCACTGTAGTATTCTCTTGCTCTCAGGGAGGATTTTCTGCACACTAAATAGCATTCTAACATATCACACTTTTCTTCATGGGAGAACATTTTTCTTTAAATTAATGACACAATAAAGCTTATAAACAAGTATTTACACTAATGTTTGACATTATTTGATTTTATCATTGTTTTCCAAAGCCTTCTAGTTGCGAGTATGTCCAGTTTAACAATTTGTCGCTTATCTTAATGCTGTCAAATCGCGAACGCCATGTTGTTTTCATAGCCGTCTTAATATTATAATACTGCAAATAATTAAAAATATTTATCGTTATTTTGACTTTATTTTTGACTTTAGCGGAAAAGTCATTATGAACTTTTTTGTTTAAAATTTGATGCTTTAACAGAAAAAAATATAATATACAGGGGTTTCCATTTAAAAAAATGTTATTTTACTGAAAAAAATCAAAATAACGACTCTCAATTGTTTTTTTTTTATTTCTCATTTTTACCAGCGTTAAAAATGCTACTAGTTTGCTAATTCAAACAACTTTGTATTTTCACTAATAACAAAGTTACTAATGGTGGACACTTAATTTGGATAACCCTGTATAACAACCACGCTCTTGGAACTAACTTTTCTTCCAACCACTTTTTATAATTGTCAAAATTCATCTCATTATGCCGGCATGGAGAATCATCAATCTGTCCCCTTTGGATACTGGTTTCTTTTATGCCTTTCGTGGAGTGATCTACCCAGGTTTTGTGATTTGTATGGGAAGTGTGTATACATGTCTTGTCAGTATAGATCACTGGACGTCCTCCTTGTCTATATTTCTGCATACTTCTCAAGAACATTATACGTAAATGGCGAATTTCTGGTTTTTCCATTAATAGATTCCTATTGTTCTCAAATTTTGTCCACTAAAACCCTAATTTATGAATTTCTTCACGCAATATTTTTTTGCTTCCTCGATATCCTATTAGCTCAATCATCATCCTGTGTACACATTGTAAGGTAGATACACGTTTTTCGGTTACATGAAAGTTTATTATTGTTCGTAACAATCCTTTGTCGAAACTATCCAGTGCCACCTTACTATTAATATTTCTCCCTTTGTTTGGTGTAGAAAGCGCTTGTGCTGTTCTCTTGTATATTTAACGCTTCCTTTTTAATGCGTTTGATGGTACTCTTACTGAGACCTTTAGCTGCAGAGACCCGTACTTGTATCTATAATTTACAACTACAACAGTTTTGAACAAAAAAAGACCCATTTTGTACACAGGCTTTGATATGCTATTCAACCAAGATGTTAGATCTCACCGCTGCTCAAATGAGCATTATATTTATAATATATATATATATATATATATTAGAGTCCTCCTTGCTTAAATTTTGTCGAAGTACCCAACAAAAGGCGGAAGCTTTAATTTTCACCTAACTGGTCCATATGTTATATATATATAACATGATATATATACGTATATATACGTATATATAACATGAGACGTGGTCATTGTCGTCTAGACCAGTTAGGTGAAAATTAAAGCTTCCGCCTATATGTTATATATATATATATATATAACATGAGACGTGGTCATTGTCGTCTAGACCAGTTAGGTGAAAATTAAAGCTTCCGCCTTTTGTTGGGTACTTCGACAAAATTTAAGCAAGGAGGACTCTTTATACTTTTTTAATCTCTCTAGCTTTCAATGATCTTTGCCATCATCACCAGGAGCTGCAATTACGTTGAAAAAAGTAGCAACAATTGTGTAAAATGAATTTAAATTAACTTACAGTAGTATGTGAGGATGTTGCTAAATGTTATTTACATTAAGGATGAGGGAAACACCCAGTAACATGGTGAAAGCTGAATACATGGTACAATGCTCAAAATTATACATATATAAACTACACACAGCTGTATGACAAGAACAAATTAAAAACAGACTAAAAATATTTAAAACGAAAGTTAATCATTACATCGTGAAGCCACTTGACGATTGCACAAAATGGTGGGCATAGAATCATGAGTGAGATGAACCTTTTGACAGATGGCCGAAGGTTAGCAGTGTCCGTGTAGAATGATGGAACGAAAATTCTTTTGTAAGGCGTGTGCTACGTTGCCAAATCACTTCAGATGGTGTGATTTTCAAGATATGTTGTGGAAGAACTGGCCAACCCGACCAGAGGCAGTTGAATTAACTATATTATTATGAGATGGGCAATTGAATTAACAGTTATTATTTAATTATGAGAAAACAATTATTAAAATTTGAATGGAATGGAATTTTTTGGTGGAATAGACCAAAAAACAGATTCTATTTATGGTTGTGAAGAGTCAAAATTTGGAGAGATGTGTAAGTGCTCCAATTTTTCGCAATATGAGTAAATGACGCTGAACAAGAAACAATCCGAGCAAATCGGCCTGATATTGTGATTCACAACAAACAACAAAAGACCTGCCTTCTGCTAGATATCGCAGTACCTGATGACTCAAACGTGCTGCTGAAAGAATCAGAGAAGATCTCAAAATATAAAGACCTAGAGATAGAGATCAGTAGAATGTGGCATGTTAGAGCTAAAACTATACCCATAGTAGTGGGCGCCCTGGGAACAATTAAAATAGGTCTAAACAACTATCTTCAGATGTTACCAGGCCGGCCCAAGGAAACTGAAATCCAAAAGATTGCATTGTTGGGTACCGCACATATCCTAAGGAAAGTGCTAGGGTAAATATCTCAGAGCTCCTGTCGAGCCCCGTGTTTACTCCTGAAAACCGTCCAGAGACGAGAGGAAACAAACAACACCAATAATAATAATAATAATAATAATTTTCTGGTCCCCCTTAGGGCGCTTCCCCAGGCGGTGAATAGGGGAACGCTTCCTAGATATGGGAAGCACCTTGGTAGCAAGGGGCGAACCGAAATCAGCAGAGGTATGTCTGTTAGGTGCGGTATCTCTGCAGCGTCTGCCCATGTTAGAGGCGGCTGGTAATGAGGCTGTCGGAGGCCTGCTTGGCAGAGCTCTAAACTGCCACCCTACAGGGTGAAGTAATGGACAAAACCATAAAATGACCTTTATTCAGGCGGGCCGGGGCAGCAGGACTCAGCTCGGAACCGTCGGGAAGACATACCTGCAAACGACAATGCAATGGAACTGGAGCTGGCATGATAAAAATGACTTCTCAAGGTTCTAACATCCTCCACGACAATGACGTTTCAGAAGAGAACCAGACGAGTCAATCTCAATCTGGCTCTTCTGAACTGCATGGAAACTCGCATAGGAAACAAACGAGTGGAAGAATAAAGTGGAGTTTAGATGAGTACAAGGAGATAATGTGGTGCTATTATTACACTTTACTAACAGTGGAAACAAGTGTTGTAAAGGAAACATTTAAGATATGGAGGTACAGGAATTCAGATGTACGAACTAACCTGAATCCGAATACGTTAGGAACACAGAGGAGATTTATTCAGAACAAACGTAAACTTAGTGAGAAAGACCTACTGGATGTAAAATATAGCGTAAGCAAGTTCCTTGCTCGAGCCAGGGGAGCTGACAGGCAGATGCCGGGGCAAGTGAGGAACATAGT